TATAACACTAGACAGAGTTTCTTTTCTGCGCATGCGCAAGTGTGGGCATGACCTCTTCTTCCGAGGAGGTGGAGCAGAGTTCCTCCTGAGTGTCCGTGTGCGTCACCTCCAACTCCTCTCTCTCCGGCTGCTCCTCCTCCCGTAGGTGCTGCTGGAGATGCTGCCGCTGCTGCTGCTGCTGCTGGCGCCGCTGGCGCCGCGGCAGGATGTACGACAGATTCATAGACCTCTTGCGGAAGCTACCATAGGAAGACACACACAAAATAGTTATTAAAAGTGTTAAACACAAATTATCTACTTAAACAAATACAAATTATCTACTTAAACAAATACAAATTACTTATAATTGACTGGCTTTAGTAATAATAGATTTATATAATATGGTATAGGCAACTTAAGGTGAAATGTAGATTCTGTTTTTGGTAATTAGGTTACACATCTATGCATTTGAGGCTGATGCAGTTCCATTACGTATGGTATTATGTATGAAGTTGTTGAAGACACACACATACCTGTATGAGCGTCGGAAGGGGAAGGAGTGGCATGGGGCACAGGAAGCGCAAGTGCAGGAGCAGACGGAGGTGAGGTCGGTGAAGGAGGCGCCTTCCTGAGGACACTGACCAGACAGGATGGACCCGTTGGCTGTGATCACGTCTCCCTCGAGTCGCACAGCACCAGCAGCAGCCTGAAATATAATTCAAATATCACCAGTAGGCCCCTAGCGTAAGTTAGGAGTCACTACTCCGGTGGGCCTGGGATTAGAAGTCACTCTCCCCTCACACTCTCTCCTACCAACCTCTCTCATTCTCCCCTCCCTTCATACCCCCTCTCTCTCTCTCTCTCTCTCACTTTCTTCCCACACTCTCCCACTGCCTCCCACTTACTTGTAGAGCCTCAGCCTCGTCTCTTCTCTCGTCCTCAGTGTTCATAGTGACGAAGCGGAGGACGAAGAGGTTGAGGGAGGCGGCGACAATGGCCATGCCGAAGAGGATGAAAATGAGAGCGAAGGCCACATACTCGGGTTTCTGGTCAAGGGCGTGGTCCTTCTGCAGGGCCACCATGTCCCCGAAACCTGAAGGAGGAAGAAGGTGAGTGCTGTTATGGTGGGGATGAGGTACTTTTTCTAGCAGAATTAGATATACGAGCAGAGTGGAGCAAAGAAAAAATCTCCCCCCCCTCTCCCTCAAAAGAGAGTGAGGGGGAGGGAGAGAACATTGTACTATATTATGTCTAAGAATACTTAGATTCATTAATATATGAATAATGAAGGTTCATTGTTACAATACCCTCTTGACATTATAATAATTACATTGACTCCGGGCTGAGGGACTGATTACCTCAAAATTCTTCAGATCTTCATCATTCTTCGTACTGGACTGATGAAGCCACTGTGTAGGCGAAACGCTTCCGCAATAAAGATACCCAAGTGTTGCATGTGTGTCTATGGTGTGCCTAAGACTGCAATATATTCGCACTAGCCTGGCAACAACCAGCCTGATCATGGACAAACTCTACTCTGGTGATGATGATGGTGGTGGTGGTGGTGTCGGTAATGGTGGTAGTGAGACAGGATCAGGACTTACCTATGGTGGTGAGGGTGATGACACAGTAGTAGACGGAGTCGAAGTAGGACCATCTCTCGTAGCGGGAGAAAACAGCGGCTCCCGAAGTAATGGTGATGGTGGAGAGAGTTGTCACCACCAGGATCAAGTCGATCTCCGTGGCGTCCGTGTCCTGGCACTGGTGGAGAGAGAGAGAGGGAGAGTGATGGAGAGAGTGAGTGATTGTGTTTGTATGATTGGTGATTGTCGTGATTAGTGTAGGCTGGGTTGTTATGGATGCTTGTTGAAGACTGTTGGTTCTTCCTCTCACTTACTAAGTCTATGAATTTTTTCCCAATCATTTATTTTGACAACGTTTCCGCTGTGTAGAGATTTATTAAGTCACGTTTCTCTCAGTGTAGAGCTTCATGAAGTCAAGTTTCGCTCTGTGTAGATATTTATTAAGTCACGTTTCGCTCTGTGTAGAACTTTATCAAGTCATGACTTAATAAAGTTCTACACAGAGCTTTATTAGGTCATGACTTGATAAAGTTCAACACAGAGCTTTATTAAGTCATGACTTAATAAAGTTCTACACAAAACAATACCTTGCCCCATTAAAAGCTGTCAATTAGTTAACTTTATTGCATACATTGTTATGTTGGTTTCAGTGCGATAGTTTGGAAAAGCCTCTTCCGCTCTTGTACTGGGTTTCGTAGGAGTTGATTTCCCAGTACTGAGTCGAGCTGTAAATTTAAGTAAACATCGTAACCTGTTATTTCTATATATTTTTTTATGAGAACACAAGAAGGAGCACTGAAACAGGCCTACTGGCCCATGCTAGGTAAGTCCAAGTCACACCCACCCATACCCACTCATGTATACTTGTCTAACCTATTTTTAAAGCTTTAGTGATGCTACTCGGCGGTTTGTTCCACTCATTCATAATTCTATTACCAGACTAGTGCTTTCCTATATCCTTCCTAAATCTATTTTTTTTTCAAACTTGAAACCATTGCTGCGAGTCCTGTCTTGGTTAGATATTTTTAGCACGTTATTTGTATCTCCTTTATTTATTCCTGTCATATATATATACGCCTTTCTAGAGAGTGCAGATTTATTGCCCTCAAGTCTATCCTTGTAGAAAAGTTTTCTGGAACATGGGATTAATTTTGCTATCCTTCTCTGTATATTTTTCCAGGGCATTTATGTCAATTCTGTAATACGGTGATCAAAACTTCAAAGCATAATCTAAATGAGGTCTTACCAACGACAGGGTTGAAGTGTAACCTGAGGGCTCCTGTTAGTTATACTTCTTAACGACCCCTGTGGATTTAGCGCTTAGTTTTAATTAGTAGTAGTGGTAATAATAATAATCATAATAATAATAGTATTATTATAGTCCTTGATATGAAGCCAAGAATTCTATTATCTTTATTACGAACACTTATCCACTGTTGTCTTGGCTTGAGATTACTACTAACCAGAACTTCTAAATTTTTGTTGCATTTAGAGTAATGGAGAACTACAATATTAAGTTTATAAGTGTCGTGGTTATTATCTTTTTCTAGGCTTAAAATTTTACATTTACCTACATCAAACCACATCTGCTACTTCTACCACTGCATCAACTTACCGAGATGTTCCTGTAGCTCTCTAGTGTCATCATCAGAATTAATCCGACGGCCTATTTTAGTGTCATCGGTAAAGTTACTTATGTCGCTATTTAGTCCCTCATCTATGTCGTTTACGTATATTGTGAACAACAAAGGACCCAACACTGACCCCTGTGGAACACCGTTTGTGACGCTTCCCCACTCTGATTTCTCCCCGTTTATGCAAACTCTCAGTTGTCTACCTGTCAACCATACTTCTGTCCAGGAAAAAACTCCTCTCTTATTTCGTGTGCCTCTATTTTCCTCAACAGTCTCCTGTGTGGAACTCCATCAAAGGTATTACTGAAGTCCATATACACAATATCATATTCATTATCATGATTTACCTCCTTAAATAACTTAGTGAAGAAGTTAGTCATTTCGAATGGCAGGAACGCTCCTTTGTAAACCCGTGCTGAGATTCATTGATCAATTTCTCTTTCAAGATGGCTTCGATAGCCTCGGCAATTATTGATTCCATCAGTTTTTTTTTTTCCACACTGGAGGTTAATTCCCTTCAGCCGTTTAGAATCATTTCTATCTTACAACCCACAACATTTTCACAAAATTAAGCTTTTTCTCAAGTTTTTATTTTTTTTTTCATGGAGCTTCCGTTAGTTTTCTTGAAGAACAATCTAGTGGTTTTTTTATGTCAAAGAAACTAATTCCTCCTGAAAACCATTGATTTTCTTTTTCTCTTTTTTCTTCTTTTCTGTAGTCTTTTTTCATTTTTTTTTTTTTACTTCTTCTTTTCTTCTTGATAATTGAGACATTTATTCAACATTTGGGAATCTTTATTCTGGAAACGTTTCACCTCTCAGTGGCCCTTTCTCCAGTCCAAAACAAAAAAACAACGCTGGCGATGGGGGGAATTTTTGAGGAAATTCATTTCCCTTTCAGCCGGGAAATTTGATGGGGTTCAGTCCGGGTCAATTTTGACAAAAGTCCCCAGCATATTCGTGGGAAAAGGACCCTTTTTTTCTGATGACAGACGAGGGTTGGAGCGTGGAGGGGGAAAGGGTCACCAGGGGAGAAGCCCCATTTAGGGGGAAAAAGGTGGGGAAAATTTGGGAAAGAAACCCCTGCATCAGGAATTTCCCAAAAAAGATGTTGCTTTTTGCCTGACACGGGTAGGCCACTTATTTGATTTTTCTTGTTTGTTTTTCAATTGGTCTGGGGCCCGGGGTCCTGAAGTATTTTGGGGGCCCAAAGAGCTGGGTATCTCCTAGCAGAGGATATTTACACAGAAGAGATGCCGTTTTTTTCAGGTATTTTCGCCGGGGAGTTTTCCTTAATCCCCATTCTTAGGGATTAAAGTATTCTTGTTTTTTGGTTTTAAAAAAGGTTCCCTTAAAAGCCTTAGGGATTGTTTTGGGGTCGATAGGTTTTAAAACCCCATTAAACCAAATCTCTCTCAGGTAGGTTATATACCCCAAAGATGGGGAATTTAATTTAATTTTTAAATTTTGGGGCTTTAAAAAATCCCCTTGGGCCTGGGGGTAAACGGGTCCGAGTGACCAAATTTGACCTTCTTGTAGTGTTAAGGTTTAAAAGTTTAAGGAATAAGGTTTTAATTTCTTTGCATCGTTTAAAAATGTGTGATTATAATTTTGTTTTCCCAAAAAGCACAAAAAAGGGCCACTATACGCCGGGGCAAAAATGTTTTTAAACCCTGATAAACAAAATTTTTTTGGGAGACATATGCGGTAAAACCCTTTAAGGGGTTTTAGCGTTTGATTTTCATTTTTAATAATAAAAATTGAGCACATACTGTAAAGGGTTTTCAAATTTATATTTCAGAGAGTAAAAGTTCATTGTTTTTCCCTACCCCGAGGTCCCTAGCTCGAGGTCCCAGCCCGGGTTTCCCTAGCTCGAGGTCCCCAGCCTGAGGCCCTAGCTGGGGGGCCCCCAGCCTGGGCCCCCTTTAGCTCGAGGTCCACGCTCAAAGGCCCCTAGTGGGGCCCAAAAACCCTGAGGTCCCTAGCTCGAGGTCCCCACCCCTGAGGCCCCAAAGTCGAGGTTTTCAGCCCGAGGTCCCTAGCTCGAGGTCCCCGGGCCCAAAGGGTCCCTTGCTCGAGGTCCCCAGCCCGAGGTCCCTAGTCGAGGTTTTCACCCGACCCCCCCTTTGGGCTCGAGGCCCCCAGCCCGAGGCCCCTAGCTCGAGGTCCCCAGCCCAAAAGGTCCCTAGAAGGACCCCACCCCGAGGTCCCTAGTCGGGGTTTTCCTAGCCGGGGTTTCCCTTAGTTTCGAGGTTCCCAGCCCGAGGCCCCTTTGCTCGAGGTCCCCACCCCGAGGCCCCAAATCGAGGTTCCCACCCCAAAAATGTCCCTAGCTCGGGGGGTCCTCACCCCGGAGGTCCCTAGCTCGAGGCCCAAAACACCCCGGGGGTCCCTAGCTCGAGGCCCCCACCCCGAGGTCCCTAGCTCGGGCCCCCCACCCCGAGGTCCCTAGCTCGGGGTCTTCACCCCGAGGTCCCTAGCTCGGGTTCCCGGGCCCGAGGTCCCTAGTCGAGGTCCCCAGCCCGAAGTCCCTAAAATCGGGGGACCCCAGCCCGGGGGTCCCTAGCTCGGGGTCCTCAGCCCGAGGCCCCTAGCTCGGGGTTTCCCCCCGACGAGGTCCCTAGTCGGGTTTTTTCCTCGGGCCCGAAGCCCCAGTCGAGGCCCCCACCCCGAGGCCCCTGCTCGAGGCCCCCACCCCCGGGGGTTCCCAAAAGCTCGAGGTTCCAGCCCGGGGGGTCCCTAGTCGAGGCCCCTTCAGCCCGAGGTCCCTAGCTGAGGTCCCCCCCCGAGGGTCCCAAAGCTCGGGGTCTTCAGCCAGGGGTTTCCCTAGTCAAAGGTTTCCCACCCTGAGGCCCCTAGTGGGAGGTCCCCGCCCGAAGTCCCTAGATCGAGGACCCCCAACCAAAGGGCCCCTTTGCCGAGGTCCCTCACCCTGAGGTCCCTAGTTTCGGGTTCCCAGCCCGGGGACCCCTAGCTCGAGGTTTTACCCCGGGGGGCCCCTTCCCTGAGGCCCCTCCCCGAGGCCCCTAGTTTGGGGTTTCCCTCAGCCCGAGGTCCCAGTTTAAGGCCCTCAGCCCGAGGCCCCTAGCTCGGGCCCCCGGGCCCGAGGCCCCTGCTCGGGGTTTCCCCCAGTGGGAAGGGGTCCCTAGCTCGGGGGCCCCCGCCCGGGGGCCCTTTGTCGGGGTTTCCCAGTCGGGTCCCTAGCTCGATTTCCCCAGCCCGAGGGCCCCTTCGGGGGTTTCCCCCAGCCCGAGGTCCCTAGCTCGTTTTTCCCCCACCCCGAGGCCCCTAGCTCGGGGTTTCCCCACCCCAAAGGCCCTAGTCGGGGTTTCCCCCGGGCCGAGGCCCCTAGCTCGAGGTTCCCGCCCGGGGGTCCCTAGCTCGAGGCCCCCAGCCCGGGGGGCCCCTAGCTCGAGGTTCCCACCCCGGGAGGTCCCTAGCTCGAGGTGTCAACATAGTTGCTAAATCCCTGTGGTTTAAAAGCATATCGTATCATCATGTGCTTTAGATAGAAGCCCTGGGCCCTGTTTTTGGGTAAAGCCCACGGGGGGGGGCCATGTGTACGTTCGTCCTCTGCCCCCCTCTCAGTCGGGTTAGACATAGGTGGGGACAGGCTGAGGCGGGGCTTTTTTCCCCATCATCACAGTCTGACAAATATCGTTCCATCAAAAAAGGGG